GTTGAATGAATGAACTGGGAATTTGGCAACTAAGAGGACATTCAGTGAACAGATATTTAGCGAGTACCTACTATGCACCAGGCCACATGATACATATGGTAATATATTTTTAAATAAAACTAAAAAGGTCCCTGCCCTCATGATAGGCCCCTACACTCTCCTGAGTGAGATAGACAATAAATAAATATAAAATTTATAAAATTATAAATTGTGATAAGCACAAAAGTATTAAAGCAAATTATTTAATAATAATCACAGTTGATGTTTATTGAGTACTTTTATTATGTGCCAAATGCCGCCAAGTAGGTACCATTATTGTTCATTTTACAGATGATGAAACCGAGGCACACAGGGATTAAGTAGCTCACCCGTGGTCATAGCCAGGGTTTGAACCTAGATGGTCTCACTTCAAAGCCTATGCTCTTGAACTCTACAGAATCTTGCTTTTGACAAACAGGGAGAGATATGATTGAAGCCAGTTTATCCGTGGCCTGGAATATTAGGCAGAAGACTGGATATTACCTCCTCTGTTGTGGAGATTTGGGGGCAGGGAGAATGTGTTGGAAGTGGTGTTTCAGAATAGTCTCTCTGCTGTGTGAAGGCTAATTGAGACATGATTGGAGACAAGGAATGGGGCTAGGATGAGAGGGGTGCCTGGAGTTTCTCCAATAAGTTTAAACAAGATGTTTTCCTCCAAAGTCCATCCCAATAATCAATGACTGAAATTTATTTTGTATGTGTTAACTTATTTAGAATAAGTAATACATGCAGATAGTACAACATTCAAAAGTTACAAAAGGACGTATAATAAAATTAAATCTGACCTACTAGTCCCCCAGCTACCTGATCAATCCTTCCTCTCCACCAAGTCTACTACTGGTATAAATAAGTTCCTTACATCTTTCCAGAGATACATAAATAAGTAAATAAAATAAACACATAAATAAATAAATAAAATAAACCTACTAATAGCCACATACTATGCACACTGCTGTGTGCCTTGCCTTTTTCTTTTTTTAAATTTACCTATAGTTCTTTGAGATCACTCAATACCAGTACATTTAGGACCATCTGTCTTTTGTTAACAGTTGCATTCTATTCCTTTGTATGGATGAACCAAATTTTGTGTTTTGTTTTTTTTTAACAGATCCCCTAGTGATGGACATTTGTTTCCAGTCTTTTGTGATTATAAAGAAAGCAGCAATGGATACCCCTGGGGTCAAAAGGTAAGTACATTTTAAATATTGAAAAGATGCCGTTTTTTTGGTTTTTTTGTTTTCTTTTTCTGCCATTTATTTCTTAACATATCTGTGTACATAGCCTCAACTTGTGCATTAGATAGGAAGTTTTCTCACTATGGACTTTGCTCTTGTATTCCCATCACATATCAGAGTGTTTTATGGGGTATATCCAAGTTTTAAGTACTTGCAGTTTTGAGTGCTTGTCCCTAACGTACAAGCCCCAAACATGAATGGTGTCTCAAACATATTTCACAATTTCACAAACATATTGGTTTTGGGTATGCTTGGGTATGCTAGTGCCTCAACTTTTCAGGCTTCCTGCTGGAGGAAGAAACTGCCACTACTTTCTCAATTTTAGGGCTTATTTGGTCCCATCCCCTCATTTTACAGGTGAGTAAACAGACCAAGAGAGCTGAAGGGACTTGCGCAAGGTCACAAAGGGTCTATATGGTTAACTAGGACTGGCCTCCTTATTGCCCATTTGGTGGAAACAAAGTTATTCCCTTTGCAGCATCCTCAAATAATTTCTAAGATCTTTATCTTTCTGGTCTCCTTCAAAATTCAATCCTGGGAATGCCTTTCTTAAATCTCATTGCCCAATGTACCAAAATTGTGAGAAACTGTCTCCCTCTGCTGGTAACACTGTATAATTATGAAGCCTAGAACTACTGGGAGTCCACTGCATTTAGGAAAAACTAATCACATCTCAAGAACAAGCCTTAGGTTGATGTCTGATAGTTTCATCTATCTTGTTGTCACCTAGACTCAGGATAATTCACTTCAAAGAATGGATTCATGGGAGAAAGTATTCCAAATAAATATAGTCCCAGAGAGTGAGCAAGACAAAGTCCTTTATCCTTTTTCTTTCTTTTTTAATTTTAATTTTTACTTTTTTAAAGGTCCATGGCCATCAGAAAAACCCAGAGAAGCAGACCCGTCCTGCTGTGAACCCAAAATCCTTTGTCCTAGAACTTGGTGAGGCCGTTAACAGAATTAGTTGAATTTTAGACAGAGAATTTGAGCTGCTAGTGGAATATCCACATGGAGATGCCAATAAGAAGCCTAACTATAGGAATCAGTATTGGAAACACCACATCAGTTCACAGCTAGAAATCAACTTTGAGAGTCCTCAGCATCCAGTGTGTGGCTTATACCATGAGTATCTAGGTAAGAAACTATCTCCCTCTCTGGAGAGGGACTGAGGACAGGCCCTGGAGATGAACAACATTTCAGAGACAGGAAGTCGTGAAACGTGAGAATTAGTAAGCATGTCACTTTAATCTCTAAGTAAAGACTAGTAACATTTGATAACCAAAAAATGGCTCTGACCAGGTCAGCTAAATTATAGTGCCTTGGAAGATCTGGAATAAATCCGTAATCACATTCACCTCCTGGAAAACTTTATCATAAGACCGTTTTTACTTAGAAGCAGATTAATGGCATCAAAAAGCCATAAAATAACCTTGAATGCTTATTACCCTTACTTTAGATCCCTGCATGTAGGATGTAACTTTGTAACAATCCCAAATCTACACATCATGTGCAACCAATAGAAAGCCTGATGAAGTAATTAGGTGGGGCTGTCTTTCTGTCTCTCTCCTTCAGCCATTCCCCCTTCTTGTGACTGTAAAATGCTAAGCTCTGCTGGTTCTCTTCGGAACACATTTCTTGGGGTGGCCTTACTGTGGGTCTCCCTGGTTGCAATTGTCATATTGGCTCAATAAATCGTTGCCATATGTATTTGGCCTTAGTTTCTTTTTAGGTCAACACATTTAACACATTTGCAACTTATAGTAATAATTATAAAGCCTATGCTCTTGAACTCTACAGAATAGGGTTCGGATCCCACATACAGACCGGTTCCCGCTCGCTGGCTGAGCGAGGTGCGGACGCGACACCGAGAGTTGTGATTCCGTTGCCGGTCCCGGTCCGGTATGGGCGTGACACTGAGGGTTGCGATCCGTTGCTGGATACGAAAAAAGACAAAAAGGAAAAAAAAAAAAAAGAATGCAAATGGTGAAACTTCACAACAGGAAGCTGTTACTTCATAAAAATTAATGGCGCGCTAAAAACACACACAGAAACACATTCCAAGTCGGATAACTTGATAACAGCAGCCAAATGCAACATTACTGAATGACATGTTTTTAATACTTAGAGGACTACAGGAACATGTCAGTGAGAATAAAAACACATAGTGTTTGCTTTGTTCCCTGCTTTTGTTTTGAGAAAGAAAGGATGATTAGAGAAGTGAGGCAGGCAAGACACCCCATAATAATAATAGTTAACCCCTTTTAACCCCTTAGAACTTTTACTATGGATCAGACACTCTTCTAGGCTTTCCAGCATAGTAACTCATTTAATCCTTACAATCTACCTTTGAAGTAGCTACAATTATTATCTCTATTTTTTACACTTGGGGAAACTGAGGCACAGGAACCTGAAGTAAATTGTACGTGCCGGGGCTTCTGGTCAAGATGGTGGAATAGATGGTCCCCAGTGTCACTCTCTTCCACAAATCAACCAATTTACAACTATTAAAAACCAACAACAGCCAAGCTGGGACTGCTAGAGATCAGGGGAAGAGGAGGAGAGACCTATGGAGTGCATGAAAGTGGGAGAAGCCATGATGAGAGAAAGAAAGAACTGCTCCGACAGTTTCAAACCTGAGTTTCGAGAGATTTTAGACAGTTTTGAGCTTCAAGGCTGGAGTTGGTGAGTGCACGGAGCAGGAGCTGGCAAAATCTGCAGCTGTGCACTTTGGATGAGGTTGCTTGGAGGCTGCAGGGGAGAAGAGGGCGTTGGTGTCTTCCAGGCCAGCAAGACCACTAATAAGGTTCCCGTGGACCCACATAGGAGCGAGGAGCCACAGCAACTGAAAAAAAGGAGCCACTCAGAGGCCAGTGAGTCATTGCAAGGGACCCGCGCATGGCCCATCCCATAGGAAGTGTTTGGAGCACGGGCAGTGGGGGAGACGGGCCAACTGGGGTAACACTGGGACACAGCAAGGACAGCTGATCTGCCCCCAAATCAGTGTAGGACCACTCAGTGGAGACTGGTCAGAAATACAGAACTACAGGGCCGGCCCAGTGGCGCACTCCTACAGTGCGCCGCTTGGGAGTGTGGCAGCACTCCCGCCGAGGGTTCGGATCCCACATACAGACCGGCCGCTAACTGGCTGAGCAAGGTGCGGGCGCGACACCGAGGGTTGCGATCCCGTTGCCGGTCCCGGTCCGGTACGGGTGCGACACTGAGGGGTGCGATCCATTGCCAGTCACGAAAAAAGGAAAAAAAAAAAAAAGAAATACAGAACTACAGAGGATGCAGTTTGCTGAAAAAACTCAGGCCCAGACCAGTGTCCACACAATCCAGGTACCTATAAAGATAACCATTATAACCTGAGTTGCACAAAAAGCCTTCCCCAGGGAATCAGCAGCAAAGCAGCAATTTAGCTCAACCACAGAGCTCAAGTGCTAGTCCCCAGAGGAAGTTCCCCCATTTTAGAAGTAAGCAAAGGACAACAAATTAGTGCCAGTGCAGAGTTTAAGTGGTAGGAACAGCAAATAATACAACACAGAACTGCAAGAAAAAACAAAATACCCACAGACCAGAGACAAAGTTTGATATTAACTAGTAAAGGTCTTACATCACCAAAGAACACCTATAAAATCTAGAAAGACCAGAAGTCCCCTGGGCTACTGTAGTGGATTGAATTATGTCCCCCCAAAACTCCCTGAAGCTTGAATTGTGTTCCCAAGCTTTATGTATTAGAAACTTGGTTCCCACTGTGACTGTTAAGAAGGTGGGAAATCCTATTATGGTAATTGAAAGGTGGAGCCTTGAAGAGGTGATTGTAGGACCACGCAGTAGTGAATGGATTAAAAATGGTGGTCAGGGGTGTGTTTCTGAGGACTTTAAGAGAAGAGGAGAATCTGTTTTTTCACTCTGCTCTCTCTGCTTCCACCATCTTACTATGTGAAACCACTGGGTCACTGTTGCCACCACCAGATGCACTTTAGACTTCCCAGCATCAGAAACTGTAAGCAATAAGTTTTGTTTTCTTTATAAATTACCCAGTTCCAGGTATTTTGTTATAATCAACTGAAACGGACTAATATAGCTACCAAGTCAGAGAGAAGGGAGGGCTGGGGGCCTCAGCCATGCTCCCCAACACTCACAACCAGCCCAGCGACAACCACCAAGCCACCACAAGAAGCGCCCCAGGTTCCTGAGCTGGAGTGGTGAGGGGCGAGGGCTTCAGCCACACCCCCCTGCCATCTACACTCAGCCCAACAATGACCAAGCCATCACTGGGTACCTCCTGGTCTTCCCTGCAGGAATGAGGGGGGTGCCACAGGCCTCAACCCCACCCCTTCTCCTTCTTCTTTCTCCCACCCTATTTCCTTCCCCTTTCCTGTCTCCCCCTACCCCCAACTGCTCTTCAACATCACGGAATGTAAAACATATATATAATAAATGAACTTAAAAAAAAAAATTGTAAGTGCCTGAAGTTGAACTTTAGTCCAAGCTCTCCACTTGTATACTAAAGAAAAGTAAGACAGGAACACTTTAGGAAGAAGCACAAATGAAAATTTTTTTTTTTGCAGCTGGCTGGTAAGGGGTTCATAGCCCTTGTGTTATAACACTACATTCTAACCTACTTAGCTAACTAGCCAGTCCCATAAATGACTTCTAAAGGTAATGTTAATTCTGACATTAAAGAGCTGGAGTACTTTAGTGGTTGGGAGTCCCATGTTGTCCCAGCTCATGTGCAATATTATCAACTAACAGTAACGTTTTTACCTCACAGTAGAGGGTATAATAGATGACTGAAATATTGCTTTATGAGCAGAAATACTGTAATCTTCACACTATCAGAAAAAAATATGCATCAGCAGATATTTTTCATCCTCTGTAGAAGTATAAATATGTTTTCAGAATTCTGAAGAAACCATAATCTGCAGTTTAGAAAAACTATGATTCACTTTTTTTTTTAAGTGTTTTTCTTAAGTAATTGCTTGCCCTTAGAAAAGATGGTTCCGAGGAACACACTTCCCGTACTCAAGACGATTCTGTACGAGATAAAACGCGTTGCCCTTAAGAAAGATGACTCTCAGGCTTTCCTGCCCTCTTCCAAGATGGCTGCCTCGGCGATCGTAGGCTTTTGCCCGGCGCCTCTTCCGGGCTTGGCAGGGGGCGGGGTCCATTGAGTAAAGCCTTGCGTGCCCGCGCCCGCGGCGGAGGCGCGCTTCAGGGCGCAGGCGCGGGGAGGGGGTTGGGGAGGAGGGAAAGCGGCGAGTAAGATGGAAGATGAGGAGGTCGCTGAGAGCTGGGAGGAGGCGGCAGACAGCGGGGTAAGGAGGAGCCGCCGCCCCTGGGCAGGGCCGGGTGGTACCTGGCGTGAGGAAAGCCTTCGGGGGACGAGTCTGGGGATGGTTCTCCCCAAGGAAGGGTCCCACACGCCGGGCCGGGGGTGGAGGAGAGGCCCCCGGTCCCTGAGCGCCGTGAAGGCCTCTTAAAGGGGCCGTATTCCATTTCTCCCTCCACCTTTGCCCGATGCGCCTCCCTTTACCCCCCGCACCATGTGCGCGTCACTCGGGGCGCCCCACCCGCCACCCGGGGCTTCTTTTCTTGAGCCCTGCGCCCACTGGCTCAGCACGGGTCCCTTGACCTTTCCTTTTCTTTCGGCCCCCGCCGCCCGAGGCACCATTTTAAAGTTCATGTGCTCTGATGAGGAGGGACACACCATGTGGGGGGGGGGAGTGCGGACCCGGGCGGCGTGCCAGGCTCTGGAGAAGAGCAGGAGGCAGCTAGGGGCGGGGGTGGTGGTGGCGCTGGTGGAAATTGAATCCTTTTGGGGCCACTCCTCAACGCTAAAGTCCCCCAACGCTTTGCGCCGTCCACCACGGTGGGCGAATCTGGGGTTTTTTCTTTTTCAGTTTTACTGTGAGAACCTGTGGCAGGCGGATCTCTCCCGGAGATCCCGCCAGAGCAGCCGAGAGCTCCCCGGGCAGCCCCTCTCCCCGGGGACCCTCCCCCGCAAAGATCTGAGCCCCGGGGCTGGGTCTCGGAGTGTGCTCGCCGGGGCCGAGGGGGGAGGGGTGCCACATGTAAAATAGCCACATTCCTGGGAGGGGAAGGGGAAATGGGCCGGTCGACCTGTTTTTGGAGTTTTTGTGTGCCTCCAGAAGCTGCAGGAAAGTAGTTTATCCCGAGCAGGAATGGTCAGTTCTGTTAGGTTCGAGATGAATTTGGTCTTTTCGGAGTTTGTGGGTATTTGGAGACCCTCGTGAAGTGGAGAGATGCTTTTTTGGTCTGCTTGTGTTGGTGTCTGTTCCGTGGTGGCTCGAGTGACATCCACCTTAAAGGTTTCTGTGTGGGGAGTCGAGTGGACCAGGATACAACAAGAGCTGGGTTTTTCTTCTCCAAGCGCCTTTTGAGGGTGCTTGTGAGCTCTGGAAGAGGCCGAGAAATTGACCCTCTCAGCAGTGGGTGTATCTCTACGGGAATGTTGAAACTTGGCTTCGAGGTTTTTCCGCTGACTCAGCGTTTCATCTCGCGGTTGTTTATGTTTTTCCACTTAGCATAATTGATTTTGGAGGATTTGAAGGATTAGTTTGTTCAGAGGGTATTTAGTAGAGGTCTTATGTTCCTGCCATCTTTCTTGAATTTCGGCTTGAGTAAAGTAAGTTAAAGATTTTATAGAGAGTAACAAGTGTCGGGTATTTTATTCATTCAGCCAACATTTTTGAGTGTCTGCTATGTACTAGGCAGCGTGCTTTAGCTGTGACTTTGTGCCAGAGAATGCAAAATTTCCGGTAGAGGTGTTTATTGCCTACCACCAATATGAGTGAATCATCCAGACACCCCTCATGCCACCCCCTGCAAAAAAGCGTGGCCTACAATTTGAGTGTGACTCAAATAAGTTTCTTGGGCATCTTGGCCTATCTTTAGTTTTCCTCACCTATTTCAAAGGGACATGAATTTCTCATGTTAAACCAGTAGGAAGAAAATGAACAAAAATGAATGTAGAAATTAGCAGAAATTGGGGATTACTTTAGTTTTTTAGAATGAATAAATTGCTTAGCTATCAGCTATTCCAGTTCCCCATTTTACAACTGAGTAAATCCAGAGATATAAGGTTTAAGTCTTTCTTTTTTTCTCTTTTCTTTTTTGGTGGCTGGCAGGTGTGTGGAACCCAACCCTTGACCTTGGTTTTACAAGGCTGTAGTCTAACCAACTGAGCTAAGTGGCCAGCCCTAATTTAAGTCTTTCTGATGCTTGTTCAGTATTCTTTCTACTCTCCTTTACTTCAGTAAAATCCTTTTATTTTTATTTTATTTTATTTTATTTTAACTCTACTCACCATACTGCTGTCAACTATAAGAGATTAAAATCTGTACACATGACAAAGTGGAAGAAAGTTCCCAAATACAACAGTTTCGGTAAAAGAACTTACTGACTAAGGATTACTACAGTTAACATTGCTACAGTAAAAACAATGGCAAACAGTACTTCTGTAAAACCCTTTTAAAAGTGCCAGGTACAGAGGTGGAACCCAAACCTTGCCTTGTTGACATCATGAGGAATTCTGTCAAAATGCAGGTTCCCTTAAATATCCTTCATTTAATCAAATCCTTGAAACAACCTGTTGAGGCATTGTTCTCCTTTTATAGACAAGGAAACTGATGTTTAAGGGAGTAACCTGTTTTGTTCAGGATCACAGATAGTGAGTGGAGAATCTGAGATTTGACTCCAAGCCTGGCTCCAAAGCTGGGTTCTTTTCTCTAGCATTTTGCTGCCTCCCTACCTGGAGACCTGTGGAAGAGTTGGGAGTTGGATGTTAGCTTTCATTTTTAATATGGTTTTTGGGGGCTTATATTTGACAGATCTCTTGTTTTTCCGCTGACTCAGCGTTTCATCTCGCGGTTGTTTATGTTTTTCCACTTAGCATAATTGATTTTGGAGGATTTGAAGGATTAGTTTGTTCAGAGGGTATTTAGTAGAGGTCTTATGTTCCTGCCATCTTTCTTGAATTTCGGCTTGAGTAAAGTAAGTTAAAGATTTTATAGAGAGTAACAAGTGTCGGGTATTTTATTCATTCAGCCAACATTTTTGAGTGTCTGCTATGTACTAGGCAGCGTGCTTTAGCTGTGACTTTGTGCCAGAGAATGCAAAATTTCCGGTAGAGGTGTTTATTGCCTACCACCAATATGAGTGAATCATCCAGACACCCCTCATGCCACCCCCTGCAAAAAAGCGTGGCCTACAATTTGAGTGTGACTCAAATAAGTTTCTTGGGCATCTTGGCCTATCTTTAGTTTTCCTCACCTATTTCAAAGGGACATGAATTTCTCATGTTAAACCAGTAGGAAGAAAATGAACAAAAATGAATGTAGAAATTAGCAGAAATTGGGGATTACTTTAGTTTTTTAGAATGAATAAATTGCTTAGCTATCAGCTATTCCAGTTCCCCATTTTACAACTGAGTAAATCCAGAGATATAAGGTTTAAGTCTTTCTTTTTTTCTCTTTTCTTTTTTGGTGGCTGGCAGGTGTGTGGAACCCAACCCTTGACCTTGGTTTTACAAGGCTGTAGTCTAACCAACTGAGCTAAGTGGCCAGCCCTAATTTAAGTCTTTCTGATGCTTGTTCAGTATTCTTTCTACTCTCCTTTACTTCAGTAAAATCCTTTTATTTTTATTTTATTTTATTTTATTTTATTTTATTTTAACTCTACTCACCATACTGCTGTCAACTATAAGAGATTAAAATCTGTACACATGACAAAGTGGAAGAAAGTTCCCACTCTACTCACCATTTTAATACTGCTGTCAACTATAAGAGATTAAAATCTGTACACATGACAAAGTGGAAGAAAGTTCCCAAATACAACAGTTTCGGTAAAAGAACTTACTGACTAAGGATTACTACAGTTAACATTGCTACAGTAAAAACAATGGCAAACAGTACTTCTGTAAAACCCTTTTAAAAGTGCCAGGTACAGAGGTGGAACCCAAACCTTGCCTTGTTGACATCATGAGGAATTCTGTCAAAATGCAGGTTCCCTTAAATATCCTTCATTTAATCAAATCCTTGAAACAACCTGTTGAGGCATTGTTCTCCTTTTATAGACAAGGAAACTGATGTTTAAGGGAGTAACCTGTTTTGTTCAGGATCACAGATAGTGAGTGGAGAATCTGAGATTTGACTCCAAGCCTGGCTCCAAAGCTGGGTTCTTTTCTCTAGCATTTTGCTGCCTCCCTACCTGGAGACCTGTGGAAGAGTTGGGAGTTGGATGTTAGCTTTCATTTTTAATATGGTTTTTGGGGGCTTATATTTGACAGCTCTCTTGAATATGATTCCCTTTTCAAATTTCACAAAGGGTCTTGTACATACAATATGCACTTTTGAAGGAGGGGAGCCAGGGAGAGGATGAAACAACATGTTCACATCACTAGGAAACCAATTGACTGTTGCATGTCTTTCAGATGTAGGCAGTTGGGTATGTACAAGTCTTAGCGTGAAGTTACCTTGTCTCCCTACTGGTAATGAATGTTGAACGCCCAGCCGCGCCCCCCCCCCTCCAAATAAATAAATAAATAAATAACTGGGTGGAGAGAAGACCAGCAAGTGGGGGTTGACTAATTTTTTTTTTTTTATTTTGTCGATATACATTGTGGTTGATTATTATTGCCCCTTACCAAAACCTCCCTCCCTCCTCCCTTTCCTCCCTCCCACCCAACAATGTCCTTTCTGTTTGCTTGTCGTATCAACTTCAAGTAATTGTAGTTGTTATATCTTCTTCCCCCCCGCCCCGGATTTTTTTTTTTTTTTTGTGTGTGTGTGTGTGTGTGTGTGTGTGTGTGTGTGTGTGTGTGT